GCTCTTACAGCAGAAACAGCTGTCCACATCTCAGAACGCCCAGACAGTGACTGCGGCCTCCTTCCTACCTTCACATGCTCACAACTTGTCTATGATGGATGTAGCACTACCCTCTTGAGGGCAACTGGATTTTGGTTGGGTCCCCCCTAAGCTCCGTACGGCCAGGCAACAAGCATTTTCTTCACATTTCCACTCTCACAGAGTCAGTACAAGAGTCCATGATCTGTTTTTTTAGCTGTTTTTTTTATTGGGGTCTATAGGTATATGGGATGCCAAGGGGACAGCAAAACGTGAGGACGAACTTCTTAGCAACCTGTACACTGGGCAAAAAATGTGGTTCCAAAAAATAGTAACGGTCTCTTTAACCCCTTCATGCCAAGCGTACGCAAATATGCAGCCTCTCGGCGGCTGGGCCTTGTCACCGAGCGGCCACATATTTTGTGTACCATTTGTAAACAAACGTGCTGAGAGCGTGCACCCTGCATGCTCACAGCACATGTGTTGGTTTCCCATGGAAAGATCCCAATCTCTCTTTGCGATCAGGACCTTTCCGATCATGTGAACGCCGTGACAGCCAATCACAGAGGTCACATGACCCTAAACACTGCCCCACCTCCTGACGTCAGAAACCCCTTAATGGGCCGAGAGGCGCCAGCACAAAGGGGTTAAGGAGCACTGAAGTCCCTTTGGTGTACCTCCTCAGACCCCAGAGGAATCCTTCCTCTTTACCTGGCTGTACTGAGGGTATCCCTGGGCAAGGGATTCCAAGATCTAGCAATGAAGTAGTCTGAGATGAGAACCGTTGGATCTTGCACCTGACCCTCTCCCTTTATCTGGCCCTTGAGGTGTAGGAGTGCTCACTCTGTCCCATCCTGTCAGGGTGGTGGGTTGGTAGCTGCTTTCAGGCCTTTCGCTGGGTTGACTCCTACGTTGCTGCTCAGGATGTCCTCCCTGAGAAATGTGATACGGTGGAGATCCTTCTGTCCAGTAACTAGCCTGTAGGTAGGCTCCCTATCCTGGGGCCCCCTCCCAGGCTCCATGCAGCCTTCCTCTCAGTCTATCTTCCACCTGACTCCCTTGCTGCTCAGGCTCTGCCAGATTTACGGGTTGTCCTTGGTCACCATGCCCGGCCTCCTGCCTGGGGATTGGCCAAGTTCCCTTGAACATGCAGATATGGGTCTCCTCCCCTCCTCTGTCCCTCTTCCAGAAAGTTCTCTAAGTTGCTGAAAAGGTTGGGAGGGCTCTAGAAGCTCTGACCTGTAGAGTCTCCCAGCCTGTCCTGAAGTGAACTCCTGCCTCACTCCCAGGCTGACTCATCCCAGGCTGCTACCCAGCCGTTATATAACAAAAAAACAAAGCCAATCTACCTAGAGGGCACTACACTGAGGATCACAGAGCTCTACCAATATATAAAACACAGAACTTCTTCCCACAGCCTCAGAAATCTGAGTGCGGCCTACTGAGGGAGCCTCAGAGGGAGCCTCAGAAAGGGTTAAAGCTGCGCCCCGGGCAGACATAAAAGATGTAATCAATATTACATCATTCAATGCATTTTTAAATACAAGCCATGTAAGTACCTGAATGCCTTCCTATTAGCTTCTTGTAGTCTAATATAGAGCAGGGGCGGACTGAACATTTGGAAACTCAGGCAGTGCCCGAGGGCCCGGGGTCAGTAGGGGGCCCCATGAGATGCCCCTGGTACCTTTTTCATAGGCTTTTTTGAGTTTGGGCAAGGACACAGGGGCCCCATAATCCCTTATTGCCCGGGGGCCCCATGAGTTGTCAGTCCGCCCCTGATATAGAGCATGGTTCAGCTTGAGGGGGAAGCAGTACAAGAAGCCTATTAGTTGTACTGCAGACCAAGAAGCATGCTGATAGAAGGAGCAAACCGAGTGACAGAGAGATGAGCTCATCACTGTGCTGCTTCTCCATTCACTGTCCAGTCATTGGGGGAGATTTACTAAAACTGGAGAGTGTGAAATCTGGTGCAGCTCTGCACAGAAACCAATCAGCTTCCAGGTTGTATTGTCGAAGCTTTGTTGAACAAGCACAAGTTAGAAGCCAACTGGTTCCTAGGCACAGCTGCACCAGATTCTGAGTGCTCCAGTTTTAGTCAATCTTCCTCATAGGCTAGGATGACCTGGGCTCAGAGGAAGTGGGTTTAATGCTGCTGGTTATCAGACTGAGGATATATAGGGGCAGAAAAGAAATACTGCGGGGGGAGAACTCTGGATCAAAAAGTACTGCAGGAGAAATGCCTTGAATCAGGGTGATCGTTGCAGCAAAGTTTTGCTTTTTTTTTTTTTTTTTTTTGTTATTTTTGACTGGAGTTCTGCTTTAAAGTGGAACGTTGGTCATATATATATATTTTTTAATTTAAAAAAAGTCAGCTGCTGCAAACAACTGCAACTTCTGACTTTTAAAGTGTTACTAAACCCACAACAGTAAAGTCAGTGCAGTAAAGCATGCTAGTTATACCCACTCTGTCTTCTCTGCTCCTCCCCTTCTTCTATGGTCCCCAATCCATCTGCTGATAGATCAGAGCTTTGGGAGCAAGCGGCACATGCTCAGTTTAGTGTGTATTGCTAGGAGAGTGCATGTGATAAGCATATGTCCAATCAGCACTGTCCAGACAGAGGGTCAGGGGTCCTGAAGCCTCATAGGACAATGAGCGGATAATGAAAACTCCTCCTACCAGCTTTTACCAGTGCTCTGCTGAACACTGCTAGAAGTCACAAGACTGATGAGAAAAGGTATTTAGAAATTTATATTTACTAAAATATATTTCCATTTGTGCATTTCCATGTGAATGTGTATTCTCTGGGAGAGCGGATATAGTGAATGCAGGGCTCCGGGGTCCCGGAGACCGATATATAGGGGGTGGAATGCGGGGTCCGGGGAGACCGGATATAGTGAATGCGGGGTCTGGGAGAGAGGAATGCGGGTCCGTGGGATAGTGAATGCGGGGTATCCGGGTCCGGGAGAGCAGATATAGTGAATGCAGGGTCTGGGAGCGGATATAGTGAATGGCCGGGGTCCGGGGAGACCGGATATAGTGAATGCGGGGTCCGGGGGAGAGCGGGAAACCCCACCCCCCCCCCCCCCCCCCCCCCCCCCCCCCCCCCCCCCCCCCCCCCCTATGTTTAAACTGAATGCGGGGTTGGGAGAGCGGATATAGTGAAAAATTGCAGGGTCCGGATATATAGTGAATGCGGGTCTGGGGTATAGTCGAATGCCGTGGGATGAGATCGGTGTGATGCAGAGGTCCAGGGCGAGAGCGGTATAGTGAATGCAGGGTCCGGGGAGAGCAGATATAGTGAATGCAGGGTCCGGGGAGACCGAATAGAGTGAATGTGGGGTCCGGGGAGAGCGGATATAGCAGGGGCGGACTGACCATTTGGAAACGTCGGGCACTTCCCGAGGCCCGGGGTCAGTAGGGGGCCCCATGAGATGCCCATTGGTATCGTTTTCATAGTCTTTTTGAGTTTGGTCAAGGACACAGAAGGCCCCATGATCCCTATTGCCCGGGGGGCCCCATGAGTTTGTCATTCCGCTCCTGGGAAATAGTAAATGTGGGGTCCGGGGAGAGCATATATAGTGAATGCAGGGTCTGGGGAGAGCGGATATGTGGCAGGGTCCGGGGAGACCGGATATAGTGAATGCGGGGTCCGGGAGAGCCGGATATAGTGAATGCGGGGTCCGGGAGAGCGGATATAGTGAATGCAGGAGTCATGGGAGACCGGTGAATGCGGGGATCCGGGGAGACCGGATATAGTGAATGCGGGGGTCTGGGGAGAGCGGTGGGTATAGTGAATGCGGGGTCCGGGAGAGCGGCATATAGTGAATGCGGGGTCGGGAGAGCGATATAGTGAAATGCTGGGGTCCGAGGAGAGCGGCTATAGTGAATGCGGGGTCTGGGGAGAGCGGATTTAGTGAATGCAGGGTCCGGAGGAGGACCGATGAGTGAATGCGGGGGTCTGGGGAGAGCGGGTATAGTGAATGCGGGGTCCGGGGAGAGCGGATATATAGTGCGGCGGTCCTGGCGCGATGAGCGGGATGATAGTGAAATGCGGGGGGTGATGAGTGGATATAGTGAATGCAGGGTCTCCGGGAGAGCGGATGTAGTGGAATGCAGGGTCCGGAGAGCAGATATAGTGAATCGGGGAGACCGGTGAATGTGGGGTCCGGGGAGAGCGGATATAGCAGGGCGGAACCATTTGGAAACTCGGCACTCCCGAAGGGCCCGTGGGAGTCAGTAGGGGCCCCATGAGATGCCCATGGTATCGTTTTCATAGTCTTTTTGATGGTCAAGGACACAGAGGCCCCACATGATCCCCTATTGCCCTGGGGGCCAACCATGCGTTGTCATTCGTCACTGGGACAATAGTAAATGTGGGGTCCCGGTGAGAGCATATATAGTGAATGAGGTCCGGCGGAAGCTATATAGTGAATGCAGGGTCCGGGGAGAGGATATAGTGATTGCGGTGAGTCCCGGGGAGCGATATAGTGAATGCGGGGTCCGGGAGAGCGGATATAGTGAATGCGGGGTCTCCGGGTAGAAAAGCGGATATAGTGCATGCGGGTCCGGGGAAGAGCGGATATAGTGAATGCGGGTCCCGGGAGGAGAGGGATATAGTGAATGGGGTCGGGGAGAACCGGGATGCAGGGTCCGGGGGAGACGCGATAGAGTGAAATGCACGGGGTCCGGGGAGAGCGGATATATGTGAATGCAGGTGGAGACCGTGAAGGCGGGGGTCCGGCTGAGAGTATAAATGCCGTGTCCGGGAGGTGAATGCGGGGTCCGGAGCGGATATAGTGAATGCAGGGTCCAGGAGAGCGGATATAGTGAATGCGGGGTCCGGGAGAGCGGATATAGTGAATGCGGGTGTCCGGGGCGGATATAGTGAATGCGGAGGAGTCCGGGACAGCGATATAGTGCAGGGTCCTGGAGGACGGATATAGGTGGTATTCAGGCAGAAAGCGGGGAATATGGATTACCAGGGAGAGCGATATAGTGAAAAAGCAGGGTCCGGCGGAGAGTGGATATAGTGAATGCGGTCCGGGGAGAGCGGATATAGTGAATGCGGGTCCTGGGGAGAGCGGATAAGTGAATGGCGGGGGTCCGGGAGAGCGGATATAGTGAATGCGGGGCTGCGTCGGACTATAGTGAATGCCGGGGAGGGGAGAGCGGATATAGTGAATGCAGGGTCCGGGGAGAGCGGATATAGTGAATGCGGGGTCCGGGAGCGGATATAGTGACATGAGGGTCTGGGGATATAGTGAATGCAGGGTCCGGGGAGACCAGATGATAGTGAATGCAGTCTGGGGAGGTAGCGGATTAGTGTGCAGGTCCGGAGAGCGGATATAGTGAATGCAGGGTCCGGGGAGAGCGGATATAGTGAATGAAAGGTCCCCGGGAGAGGGATATAGTGAATGCAGGGTCTTGGGTAGAGCGGTATAGTGAATACGGGTCCGGGGAGAGCGAAATATGAATGCAGGGTCCCCGGAGAGCGATATAGTGAAATGAAGGGTCCGGGGTTTTAGGGACACTTTACGGATTCAGTTACAAATATTCCCCCCAATTTTCGATGTGTCAGTTTTGTGCAGAACTTTCTTTTAAATCCCGAGATGGGGTGTCTCAAGCAATTTCAGTTTTTAGTTTGGGTAGTTTTTTTTTTTATTCATTTTTATCTGCTCAGGCATCAAATTGAAAAAAAAAACAAAAACCTGGCAATATGACTTATTATAATTGCCTGCCTGACCCGAAGCATCCCGGAGGATTTATTCCCATCCCGTCCTTTGATTCTTCCTGTGTAGAAAGTTATTGGAGGCTGCAGAACATCAACGAGAGGCGGATGGGGTGCGTCTGCTGCTCGCAGCTTTGTCTGCATTGGTATTCCCTGATGGGGGGGAAAGTTGTATCGGAGTCATAGGACAGAACACATCTCTGAGCAGAGTCCACCTTCCTCGGGTGATTGGCAGGGAAACGGCAAAACATCTTCCCTTCTTGGCCGAGAGGTTGTTTTCTGAAAGGAAGGAAGCTTAGGAAGATTTATAGATTGTATCAGCTGCTCTACAAGATGCATTAAATGTTGGCCCGGAGAAGAAAAGAGGGCGCTTAATCTAGTTGATATATTTGCTTAACGTGACGATACGGTCAATAAGAGTCAATATTGATACAAATAACTTTCCCGATGGAGCAAGACGCAGTGCCGGTATAGACTGCCGTTTATTTGGTGAGTCACGGGCTACGTCCTGCCAGAGAGGCGCAGACACAGCTACCCAATGAGAGGGAAAATTCGCCTACTATGGGCAGAAGCTGCACTATTGATCTGGACGATGTTGTCATGATCAGTTGCAAAGTCTCCAGCACCTCAAATGAAGGTTTTCATTGGAGGGTCCCTTTCTCAGGGCAGCTCACACTTTATTAGGTCCACCTTGCTGGTGTCAAGAAAATATCCCCCACACCCTGACACCACCACCACCACCAGCCTGAACCATTGATAAAAGGCAAGATGGATCCACCACACTATGACACCACCACCAGCCTGAACCATTGATACAAGGCAGGATGGATCCACCACACCATGACACCACCACCAGCCTGAACCATTGATACAAGGCAGGATGGATCCACCACACCATGACACCACCACCAGCCTGAACCATTGATACAAGGCAGGATGGATCCACCACACCATGACACCACCACCAGCCTGAACCATTGATACAAGGCAGGATGGATCCACCACACCATGACACCACCACCAGCCTGAACCATTGATACAAGGCAGGATGGATCCACCACACCATGACACCACCACCACCAGCCTGAACCGTTGATACAAGGCAGGATGGATCCACCACACTATGACACCACCACCACCAGCCTGAACCGTTGATACAAGGCAGGATGGATCCACCACACTATGACACCACCACCACCAGCCTGAACCATTGATACAAGGCAGGATGGATCCACCACACCATGAGACCACCACCACCACCAGCCTGAACCGTTGATACAAGGCAGGATGGATCCACCACACCATGAGACCACCACCACCAGCCTGAACCGTTGATACAAGGCAGGATGGATCCACTACACTATGACACCACCACCACCAGCCTGAACCATTGATACAAGGCAGGATGGATCCACTACACCATGACACCACCACCACCAACATAAACCATTGATACAAGGCAGGATGGTTCCATGCTTTCATGTTGTTTTCACCAAATTCTGACCCTACCATCTGAATGTCGCAGCAACTGTCCTGCCCATGCTCCTTTAATAGGTACCATGTTGGACCCAGGGGTGTATTTACCACAAGGCAAACAAGGCACTTGCCTAGGGCAGCATTTTTTAGGGGGGCAGCACCTCCCCCCAGAAAAAGAGATGGAAGAAGGGACACTCGCCATGGGAACCAGGTGGGATCCGAGAGAGGCTGTAGGTTGCTTGATGGTGTATTAAGAGCCTGGCTCTTACTCCTGGAGATGTCTGGAGCTGTGAAGATGGGTGTCTTTCTATCGCTGGGGGGGGGGGGGGGGTGTAGTGGAAGGTTCTCACAGACAGGTGGGGGGGGGGGCAGGAGTGTTGTTGGTCAATATCAGGCTCTCTTCGCGCGGGGGGGGGGGGGGGGGGGGGGGGTATTGTTGTCGGTGTCCGTGGGGGCAGACGAATTTTTTTGTTGCCTAGGGTGGCACAAAGCCTAAATACACCACTGGTTGGACCCCCTTTTGCCTTCAGAAAATGCCTCAATTCTTAGATTCAGCAAGGTGCAGGAAGCAGTCCTCAGAGCTTTAGGTCCATATTGACATGAGTTACTGGTGCCTTTCAATCATCGGGAACCGGTCTGCCCATTCTCCTCTGACCTCTGACATCAACAAGGCATTTTCCTCCACACAACTGCCGCTCACTGGATATTTTCTCTTTTTCGGACCATTCTCTGTAAGCCCTAGAGATGGTTGTGCGTGAAAGTCAAAGTAGATCAGGCAGTTTTTGAAATGCTCAGACCAGCCCGTCTGGCACCAACAACCATCCCACATTCAAAGTCACTTAAATCCCCTTTCTTCCCCATTACGATCCTCAGTTTGAACTTCAGCAAGTCGTCTTCACCACGTCTGGATGCCTAAATGTATTGAGTTGCTGTCATGTGATTGGCTGATTAGCGATTTGTGTTACCAAGCAATTGAACAGGTGGACCTAATAAAGTGGACGGTGAATGTAGTTACATAGTTAGGTTTAAAAAAAGAAACAAGTCCATCTGGCTCAACCAATAGAAAAAATAAACAAATATAAACCCCACCATAGACAGAACCCTATAGCCACAGCTGACCCAGAGGAAGGCGAAAAAAAAAAACCCCATTTGAAGCATGGATCAATTCGCTCCAGCAAGGGGGGTCGGGGGTCCCTTTCCCAGGGCAACATAGTTAGGTTGAAAAAAGACACAAGTCTATCTAGTTCAATAGCAAAAAATTCATAAATAGAAAATCCCCATATATGAACCCTACACCCACAACTGACCCAGAGGAAGGCTTCAAAGAACCCGTAACTCCCCAAGTGTAATCCCCCAAAGTGTAGTCGCCTCTGCAGTGGGAGGTGACATACAGACACAGGCATGTACAGACATGCATACACACACAAAGATACATGTACACACACGCAGACACATGTACATACATACACACAAACACACACATGTACACACACGCAGACACATGTACATGCATACACAGACACACACGCTGTTAAGTGCTCTCTCTTCTCCCATGAAGCCACCACTGGCTGACATAGAGGATCATGTGACCAGAGTGAGCTGAAATTAGGTAGACACACACACACACTATAAAAAAAGTTGCAGTACTTTGTTGTTCACTCACAGAGCCGGGTACTGCACTCTAGGGGGAGGCAGAGAGAGCACAGCACACACTCCTTCCTTTGCTTTCACTGCGCTCAGCTATTGAGCAGTCTGACGGCTCCCAGTGCCAATGACAGATCCGGCCTGAGCTCCGAGCCTGCTCAGCAAGATGGCCCTGAGGGACACACTCACCCCCACCATAATTTCCACTCGCCAATTGGCGAGTGGAAATTTCAAGGCCTGGTCTAGGAGATGTTTTTTAAGCTCTATATTTGCTGCAAAAACTTGGACATGGTGAGGAGAAGCATGGGATACCCCAGGAACACTGAAAAACAACAGGACACTTCTCCTTCTCTGTACACAAGGGCAGGAGAGGTAGTTGAAATCAAGTTCCCATAAAGGTCACCACTGACTAAGCAATGACTGAGGCCTTCTGAAGGAAAATGCACGCAGTCAATGGGGCTCCGAGTTCAGTTCAGTACTCACAATGCCACAGGATCATCTGCTGCCTCCTTCCGATATCCACCGGGCACTATTCAGTGATGGAGAAACAAGGCTCACAATGCCACAGGATAGCTGGACACCCTCTTCCAACTTCCACCGGGTGCTTATCAGCTAGCTCTCCAGACCAAGATCCCAAACGAAACCTTTCAAATCGGTACCGCCAACTAGGCAGCAAACTGCCCTTAGGGGAAGAGCTTCCTCAGGCTAGGGACTCCTGGACCCAGGACCAACTAATTCCTGCTTGAGGCCATTTGAGGGCTCTCCAGCCACCTACGGTGCACACCACCTTTAGGGATAGGCTAGGTCCCCATAAATATTCAGACTGCCTTTCTGCCTTTCCTCCCGCAGAACCCTCTAGAATTCAAGGGGAAATAATCAGACCAGCAGCCTGTGAAACATGGAGCAGGCTAAAGTATCCAACAACTACTCTACTGGCTACAGAGAAGCCAGACTAAATTTACCTAGCATTCTATGGTCTAACTAGGAGGATGTGTTTGGGGGGAGTGCCATGAGGCAGAAGCCCACACAGTACATTCAGTAAAGATAAGAGCCCACCCTCACCCCCTTCCATCCCTTACTTACCCTCCCTGCTGCCTGGGGGACTGTCCTACCTGAAAGGAGTAGCCGGAGCAGAGGAGCAGTGATGTCTTCGATGGTGAGGTCACCAGCCAGTCTCCAACCTTTTTCTTTTTTTGTTGCACCTTACAGTTCTCAGAAAGGCAGAAACGGTGCTTTAGTATCATAGATCCCAGCAATCAGGGGTACCTACAACAGTGGGAGGGTGGTGAGAGGGGCCAGTTTGGCATTTTCGTCCTGGGCACTGGATGACCTTAGCCTGGCACTGCACAACTCCCACAGTGGCTTTCACTTCCAGCACCCATCGTCAAAAGGTTGCCTGCTGTGAGGTGAGGAGTGCAGGTTCTATGAGGACTTTAGAGGGCTATGTACAATAAGTGACACTTGGAAAGAAATGCACATACAAGGACACAGGATAGCATGGGGCATCAGAAGGGGCTCCAACCTCAGGAGCAGCACAGTTATGAGAAGCGAGGGAGGGGGACTTTCACTGACCACAATAAAATCATAAAGAGGGCCTCTGCCCATTCACACTTGAGGGTTTCAAGTCATTTTGATACTTTTTGGGTGCATTTGTAC